AACCTAGCCCCCAGGCAGCCCCCACTTTACACACATGCACACATGCCCCCCCCCCACACACACACACACACACAACCCACACACATCCCCATGCACACATGGCCCACCCCACCTGGGGAGGGTGTGCAGGGAGCAGATCAGCCTCACCTGCCCATCCTGCTCCCAAACATTGCCCCCCACCTGCCTAAAGCCCCATATGAAGTTTTGGTAAGTTGTTGCGGGGGTAGAGAGGGTGCTGACCTGACCTGCAAAAGCTCATCAAAACTTCCTATGTAGTCCTTGGTCCACACCCTGAGCTAGGCTGTCTGTCCTGTAATACAAAATGAAAGTGCTAAAAAAAAAATCCCACGTTACAAGTGCAGCAAGTTGAGCAGTAGGGGAGAAAAAAAAAAAAAAAAAAAATCACACAGCACAACAGATAGCTCAGAAGCACCCAGCCTCTGTTTCATGAAGAGAGGAGAGGACAGAAGAGGGCTAAGGCAAGTGGGGTTAGGAGGGGGCACCATGAGGCCCCACTTTGAGCATGAAAGACACAGAGAAGAGTGTAAAGCTCAAGGATTCTCTGCTACATAGGAAAGATACCTGGAACACCTTTTATGACTTAAACTGACAGCCTAAACTTACTCTGGAACAATTTCTAAGTGTAGACTGGCAGTGAATAAATATCATACGTAGAGAGAGGGTGGAAGAGAAAGGAAAGGGGAAAGAGGGAAAAACAAAAGCAGCATAGAGACTGCAAAGAGGAAGCAAGGGATTAAAAAGATAAACCAGAAGCAGGGAGAGGAAGGTACAAGTAGGAGCAGGCAAGGGGAGAGAGATTAGGAAGACTAGAGAGCACTATGGAGATAGTGCAGTGAAGCATGAGCAGAATCTTGCCTCACATGTGAGCTGCAAGCTCTTCAGGCCAGAGATCATCTTTCTTCAGTGATTGAGCTTTGCCTAGCACAAGGGCCTTGCTTTTCATTAAGGCTCATATACACTATCACAACACAAATAATAATGAAGGGAGAAAGAGGTGATGGAGAAGAAGAAATACAGGAAGACTCAGGAGAAACAAGTAATAAGCCAAGGAAGAACAGTAAAAAAAAGGGGAGGGGGAAAATAGTGGGAAAGGGGAAAGAAATGAAGGAGAAAAGCAGAATCAAAGAAACTACTGGGTCAAGCAATTTTAAAGGGGCAGATCACCCTCCTCCTGTCTCCAGAGTTGGTGAGGGCACCTTACCTACATTCACCACCCTCCATAGACCCAGAGAACCTTTTCTATTTCAAGGCCTGTGCTGGGAAGATAACAAGGGGCTTCCCATTGTCCAAGGGGAAAATCAGGACTCCAGTCCTGAAAATCCTGAAATTGCTTAAAGAAGTATAAATTTGGGGCCCCTGTTATTTTCCTTTCTGGTTTCCGAGTCATTCGGGTTCACGCATTCAAGCTCTTCTCTGCAACTCCGAACATTAGAATTTTTTTCTCCTTACATGAAAGCAGAGATTCTCATTAATTTATGTTATTCCTGGAGCTGAGATTTCAAGGAAAGAAAACCCCCTCACTGAATCTATTTCCCACAAGACTTTGTTTTAATCTAAAGCCACAGCAGAGATAAAGGTGCTCATTTTACACTTTAAAAATAAACAAAAGCCCCTGTAAACACTGTGGAAATAAAAAGATAAATGGTAATACTAAACAGGAAGTATCTAATCTGTAAGTAGCTCAGAAACCTGATGGGGAATCAAGGGACTTAACTCAGAACTGTAGTCACTGGGATTCCTGTTTCTCAACCTAACATCCCCCCCGCCCACTGGGCTAGGTCCTATGCTGTGTACTTCTGTCTCCGGAGAAGGAAAATAAAGATAGTGGGGGTAGCAACCTCACTCTTTATCAACATGACACAAAGTGCAGTGACAACTGAACCGAAATGAGGACTGCAGCTTTAAGAGACCCTGAAACCGGTGGCCAACAGTTGCTTACTGTCCGTGCCCCACTCTACTTCCCTCTGCCAGATGTCTATCACCACCAAGTCAGCTTCATTGGCAGGTGCTCAGCAGAAGGTTATTCAGCTATTTAAGGGATTTTGCTCTTGAGAGTCAAAGAGAGAGTAAAGTCTGAGCTGAGGCTACTCAGGGGAAACTAAAGAATGGAAAGTAGAAAAAAGGCAGTCTCTTTTGATGGCTATGAACCACCCCAATTTCTAGTGCCTGGTCTATGCTAGGGTAAAAAGGGGTGCAACACATACAAGATAAGATATAGTTTTATCACCCAGTGACTGGGAGGGAAATACTCTGACCCAGCTAACGTTAAGCCTACAACTATATACCAATGTAAATTACCCTGGGATCAGGAACACACAGACATTTAGCCATCCAGGAAAAATTTGCATGTTAGATTTGCCTTATAGCTAGGAGGAGCAAAAACTAGTCTGCATGCCTGCAGAAGACAACTACCCAGGATGGATATGGACAAACAAAACCTAAACCAGTGTAATTTCACCAGTGCAAATTTTACCCCCAATTCTTTTAGTGGAATTTCAGTTGTCTTAAAAGAGTTAATGTAGACACACTGGGTGCCTAATACACATACAGAGAGGCTGCTCTGAAGTGCTACAATTACAATGCAATTAATCGAGTTTGCTTCAGCATGGTAATTACCATGCTCCAGCAGACTCCAACATGATGCGTATCAGCGTCCCCATGCTGAAAAATGGCGGCGAGGATGCTTTAACTAAAGTTTGTTGAATGTACTTTAGTTAAAGCACCCCTGCCACCATTTTTCAGTGCAAGGACACTGATACACACTACATTCCAGGAGCTTTAATTACAGTGGCTCTTGGAACCACTTTAATTAAAGTGCCACCTGTACCACCTGCACCCCTGGAGCACATCTATAAATGCCAACTGTTAAGGCTCTAAGTGGAGCATGAGCACAGCAGCCCTTGATTGTGGGCTCACTCTCTGGGTCTATTTCTTCTTTGACTTCCACAATCTGCGGAATGAGCCTGCCTTATATTAGCATAGGATGGGAAGTGAATCAAGTGGGCTTGAAGGCAGGCAGAATGTGTTTAGCCATCTCTGGTCAATACCACAGAAATTATCACAGAAATTACCACCACAATTGAACCTTAGGGGCACGTCCAAACGAGCGTGATCATGTGGTATGTGGCACTACAAACACATTTTCAGCACCATGTACCAGAGTTCTCCATACTGCAAGGACATACCACCCGAGCATGTGCTGCTCCAGGTTTTTTTCTGCATTTTTTTTAAAGTGGAAAAAAACCTAAAGCAGCACACATTCAGGCAACATGCAATGCTAAAAAAAAACAGAACCGGGCCACTCGGAGCGGCTGCCGGCCAGACTCCGCCCGGCTGGAGCATTGTGGCTGCAGCTCCGGGAGGCACCCAGGACCCCAGGTAAAGGCTGGCCCCAGCCTCCCCTATGCCACCTGGGGCAACTTGCCTCGTGCCAAAGCACACATGGCACAGGCATTCCCCGGGGACAAGAAGTGGCGACGCAAGGTGTGCCACTGCTACTTGTCCCTGGGGAACCATACGTCCACACATGTCTGGACACACCCTAGCTGGCCTTTTTCCTAAAAAAATATCAAGAATAAAACAGGCTATGAGCCTAAGGCCCTAATTCAGCAGATCACCCCTTTTCAGGAAAGGCGCCCAAATACGTGCATGTGTATTTTCTTAAATACAGATGGACTTAAGCCTTTTCCTGAATTAGGGCCAAAGACTGATCCACTGAGATCCAGGCTGAGGGAAACGGACAGGGAAACCTGAACAGTCATTACCCATGTTTGACCTTCTCTCTTCTGATTGAACAGAAGGCTTCAGCTTCCAGGGCTGTTAACCAAATCCAAGCACAGGGCAAAGGGTTTTCCTTGTGGTTGGGGGATATGGAGTGGTAGGGAAGTGGGGAGGAAGGGTGTCCTGTTGATAAGAGTATGTCAAAAAAATTGGAAGGAGTATTCCATTGGAAATGCTGTTTTGGCATTCTCAATTTAATTTCTATCAATGTTTATATTGTACTAAAATATTAAATTTCAAATTATATGCAAACATGTGTATACATATTAATTAACAGAATGCATGCTTTATACAATAAAAAGTTTTGACATTCTTGAAAAGAAATGTTCTGATGCTCCTAAATGAATATGATGGATGGATAGATTTCTGTTTTATCAAAGATTTTTTTAAAGAGCTCAGCTTTTCCTTCTGATACAGAATGAAAACAAGTATTTGAAGTGTCAGAATATCCCTTGGACCAGAAGTTCCAGTTTTTGACCAGGTCTGCCTGATTCCTTTCACTCAATAAAAACACATGTCCAGACAGAGGTAAAAAAATCACTAGTCTTTTTCTCAGAGCAGTGGTATTGTCTGGGGTTCTCTCCTGTTAGTTCCCCCATTTTGAGATAGAGGCCTGCACTCCTTTTCCTGTTCTTCCATTTTTTTGTCTTGTGTCACAAGGTGATCCTTGTGTTTTCACAGGACCCTTTACTGTCCTCTTTTTTTTTTTTTTTTTTTTACTGAGAGGCAGTAAATACTGCTGGCATTTCTTTTTTGTTCAGACTCCAGCCATTCCTACAGGGCTCAAATAAGCTGGTATCTCATGCTTTTGCTGTGCTAGCTTCTGCTACACTGCCTTCTGTTCAGCTCCTATTTCTTACTCACTCCTGGCCCCTGTGTCTCTCTCTGCTGGGGACTACAGTGCCTCTCCCTAAAGTTCAGGCTCATGTGGACCAGTGGAAATTAAGTACAAAAATTACAGGCAAAATCCACTCAATTCCAACTACTTCAGCTGAATTGGTCTCCCCGATGCTGGTAATTTCAATGCTAGCTCTCTTCTTCCTTGCATATGATAGGTATCTCATTGTGATTCAGAGATCCCACCGGGGCAGGCAGCTGCCAAGGGCCCTTCAGGAGAGGCCTCATTGACAGGGAGAGCATCTTGAACTGTCTTCATAATCTGACACATCTGCTTCCTAATATCAATCCTCCAAGTTATTACCATTGGTAACAGCTCCCTCCTAAGTGTCTGTGGCAGCTGCTGTGCTCAACACAAAAATCATACTTTCCTGAGGAGGTGAAGAATTGCAGCCAGCTGTCTCCAGCTGTTCAGTTTTCTTAGAACAACACTGCAAAATGTTTTTCCTGCCACCATGCAGAGCTACCCTCCTACATGCATCCTGAGAGGGAAAGGGAGGCTGTATGGTCAAGCGCAAGACTCTAACTTCTGAGTGGCTGCCTCTTCACCCCTCCCCAAGCTGCACTTCCCATGGGCCCCCCCACACACACATTACACTTCTAGTTTCTAGTAAAGCATCACTGGGCCTCTCTGCTGCAAAGGCTCCTCCCACAGAGGTCCCCTCATGCCCCTGGCACAAGGGCTGCACAGGCCATGCTGCTGCACCCCTAAGGGTGGAGCAAGAAGCAGAAGCCAAAGGAAGGATGGGGGAACCCAGAGACTCCGACAGCAGCAGAAGCAGTGAGGGGAGCAGCAGCAGGGAGGGAGCCCACCAGCTGTAGGCTGGACAATCCTGGTCTAGCAAATAAGGCAGTGCACTAGGGGTTGGCCCAGTGCTACTGGCAGCTCTATAAGGGCATCTACACTGACAGTTCCCAGGGGACAGTACACCCCTTCACTCTGCCAGCTTTGTGAGCAACAGGAGCCATATACAGATTACCTGTACCTTCAGACATCAGCTACAGCCCCTTCATAGCAGTAGGCACAGCTCCTGTAGCGGCAGTGAAGGGAGTAGCCAGAAGCTGTCAAGGAAGTGGGGGTCATGCTGTAGCAGCTTCTCTGCGGCCAGGGGCAGATTCAGGGGGGTGCAGTGGTGCAGGTGAATCACCCTTTAATTCCTGCCTCTTTACCCCATAGGTGTTAACAACCCTCTAGCCTTTTTTAATGGTCTTGATGTTCCGCTAATGATACTATCCTTTCTTCTGCCATTCTGTTTGTTAGCTGTTCCTGGTAATGTAGCTCCTATTTTACACCCTACAGATTGTTTTTAACTCTAACTTAAAACATTCATTTTAGGTGTAGAAATGTTAACTTGGGTGAACGTTAACTCAGGTGTGAAAATAATTTTCAGTGAAGCACTAGATGCACTATCAAGATGCTCAAGAAGGCTAGGTTTTGTTTTGTAAATCTGAAAAGACAGATATACATTTAATTCCAATAATTACAGGACTAATGAAACAATATTTGCAATTACTCTTTGCCTAGTTAGCTGTGCTTTTTAATACATAGTATACAATATAGCCGATTAATGCACATTCAAATGAAGTCACATTTGTTTTAGTTTTGATCTTAAACTGAATAACACAGTCCTAACCTCTTACCAGATTAGTAAAGCTTCTAAATTCTTCAGATCTGGAGGAAAAAATGTGTGTTGTGTTCTATATGATGATGCACCACATCAACTGCACCCCCACTTCTCAAAACCCTAGATCTGGCCATGCCTATGGCAGCAGCCAGCATAACTCCCAGGTGTATGGTGACAGGGATTCTATTTCTGTTCTAGGTTTTGTTAGGGATTTAATTTCAGTTGGTGACCCTAAGGCTAAGTGTTCCTCTACAAATGCCTATACTACACAAACAGCAGAAGAATATTGCACTCACTGTCAAGGTACATTGAACCATGAGACACTGCTCTGGCACTGGAGTTTAACTAGTGTGCCCTCATTCCCAGTGACTACCACCATATCCAAGCAGACACCTTCAAAAAAAGCTTCTTAAAACAGCAGGTACCACCTAATAACCCACAAAGGAAAGATCCCAGGAAGAGACAGATGGTGGCCTGCCACAGAGGGACCCTACCTTCAGATAATGGAGAACCTTTAACCAGTGACACCTGGTTACTCACCTTCAGCATAGCAAGGAATATGTTATTTGAATCAGGAAGGCAGATTTAAGAGGAAATTAAGAAATCTCGTGAGTAAGGTGCAACAGAAAGTCATACTGAAACTTACCAGAAGGGAAGAAGGCTGGAAAATCCAAAGGGAGGCTTTAATTATGGTTCAGTTCCCCTGAAAAAGAAGGGCACATGCCATGAACACCAGAGTCTTCAGGGAAATGAGGATTCCATGCTGGATGACCTTCTGTGACTCTAAATGCAAACTGAGCCAGAATCCAGCTTTACACCTGCAAGGACTTGTCAAGAAGGATCAGAGAATTCTAGTCCTAGCCTCTTTACTGCTGACCATTTTGCTCTGGGGTAATCCCATGCATGATGCTTCCCAGCCACTTCTTCCACAATGGTACCTTTTTCCATACCCCTTCTCTCCATTCCAACCCACAGCTGTCTATCCTCTGCCTCACTCAAATCCCTTCCAAATAATCAGTCTCTCCCTGATGTCCATAAGCAATAATTCAACAATATGCTTTTTTGTTCCCCATGCATCCAGTCTATTCTGCCTGTGGCTTGTATGGATTCTAAACTCTTCGAGACAGGGACAATCTTTACATCTCTATCAGAAGTGTAGTAGTGCAGCTCTGTGCTTGGGGCAGCCACACAGTGCCTGGGATAGTGCCAGCTCCTGCCATGATGATTGAGGCAATGTGATCAGCCACCACTGTGCAATAGCTGCTTTTGTACCCTGCCAAAGGCATCCCCAGTCACACGTTCCCCACCCCTCCCAGTACATTACTGATCTTCTGTATCTTAAGTACAATTTCTCAGAGGGGTTTTGATCCCTCAGAGTGAGGTAAAAAACATGACCCAAGAAAGGCTTCTCCATAGGGACAAAATAAATACAAGTGTGGAAGTCCGAATGATATTCAGAGGCCTACTTAGTTATACTACATTCGGAAATATATGCATTCATAAAAAGCTTCAGTGGGAGTAACACAATACATCATTACAGTAAAAGGACAGTTATCCCAGCATGGATAGGCAAGCTTCAGCCTAGCTGTAATCCAGTCTTTTGCTGCATAGACAGAGATTTACGCATAGTGGGGAATGGGAACATGTTGGCAGCAGCATCAGGATAGGCAGAGAGAACAGGAGAACTGAGATTGCAGCATGTACAGAAGGCAAGACAATGTAGTCTGTTGCACCTCCTGTCCACCCAGTGCCTGCCTCAATACTGGACATGACTTTTTAAGGGAAGGTTCTCATCAATGCACATGTTGCAGACTGTATCACATGCAAGTCTGGGTTCTAGTTAAATGTTTAGTGCACCACACACCTTAGCACAAGCTTGGTTTGCTTGGGATGCTGAATATATACAAGGCATCTGACTTCCTGAACAAAGCAAAACAATCCTCTTGATCATTCTGGTAGTTTTGCCCTGGCTGAACAGAGAGAGGATGCAGCATCCATCATAGTGATATGAATCAAAACAAGGAGAGATGAGAATTTCCATCTGTACAGCCCCTGATTCTGCTGTAAAACAGGATGCAATGAGATAAGGCTGATCATGGCCTTGTGCACTAAGGTCAGTTGCATTTGTGTTGATGAAAATGGAACATGGGCCCTTGCTGCCATGAGAGATGCACACGCAGGCTCAGGGCTGGATGCTGCTCTGGCTAACAGCAGTGAAAACTTGGGAGTTATTCTACTGAAGTTGAAGAATCCATGCTGAGGTAAGTCTGGCAAGATAGTTAACCAGGACAAGATAAAAAATGAATGCGTCTTTGTCTGCATTGGAAACATTGTTAGTTAGCACGTGTTTGGTAAAACACCAACCTTCATTCCCCCGCGGACAAGCTCAGAGACTTGTGATTAGACATGGCTCAAGTCTATGTTCTACTAGGTCAAAATGGTTATGAGTCATGTTTGGTCCATGAGCAGTCCTCACAATATCCCTGACAGGGAATTTTCAACAGAGATGCCAAAATCAATTGGAAGTCAATGGCCTTGAAAGTCCCACTACAAGTGAGCATCACTAACCCCACTTCAAGTACAGAGAAACTGAAGCACAGCACAGTGAAACAGCGATCCTAGAGTGGTGATATAGCAGGGACAGGACCAAGACAAGGATTAAGGCCCATGTTTTCCAAAATAAAACAGTGACTTTGGGTGCTCAACTTGAGATGGGTTAAAAGGGGCCTGATTTTCACAGGACAGGCACTGGGTAGTTTTTGAAATTGTGGCCTCTTTTCAAGTCTCCATTTAGTCACACCACAATTGAAGCACCTGAAATTTCTTGCAAACTTCAGCCATGGTCTGACTGCCAAACCTATGTTGAAGTTACCAAACCAGTGCTTCCTAGCCTTCATTGGCCCATGGGCAACGATGGAGAGCAAGTAATGTACTGTGGTCAGCATCATATTTTGCTCTCCCTGACAACCTCAATTTTCCTTTTTTCAATTTCCAGTTGCCATGAGCAATCATCAAGGGTCTCCTGGAAAATGTTTTGCCCATGAGCCATCTGTGAACATCCTTCTGATGGCTTTTGAAAATCCCCCTACAAGGAGCCAAGGGATGTAGCTGCAACACTAAAGCCAATGAATGCAGCTGAGCTGAGGCTGAGTCTCAGAGAGTAACTACCAGCACTGACCACAGTACTTGATGCATGGGCTCAGACCCTACCCTGGTATCATTCTTGTTTGATAGGTTTTTACACATGGCCATTATCTGGGCACCTGTATGCCCCCCTGCCCAGCACTGGCACTGGAGCTGGTATCCAACATAGACTCACTGCCATGAGTCAGTCAAAAGAGAGGAACAAATTACTACTCCTAGACAAATAAAATTGAGTCCTCAGGTCAGAAAACCACTTAAGCATATGCTTATTCCCCAAGGACTTTAAAAGGAATTAAGCATGAGCTTAAAGGAATTAAGTATTGTTGAATTAAGGCCTAGGGGAGGAATAACAGAATCAGATAAGTCATGTGACACAGTCTAACTCCAGCACCTGGTGGCAGGAATGTCTATACGAGACTGGGATACCTCCCCAACCCTAATTTTGGGGCACATACTCTGAAAACATCAGGCAGCTGAATGTTGCCCACATGATGTTTAGAAATCTTTGGATCGCTGCACAGGGCTTCACCTCAGGACAGATGCTCAGATTAATTCAGTAGGTTCAACCTTGTTGGCAGGTATGCCACAAATAACTCCCCACACCCTTCCCAAATGCCACTTCAATCCTCTTCCCCTGCCCAACTGGTTGCTCTGCTTTCTGTTCCTGTTTGATCTGCTGCTCTGCTTTTTCCTCCCTGTCCTATCTAACACTGCACTGAATATCCCCACCCCACCCCCCCAATCCGTGTACTGCACATCGAGGCTGTCCATGCCACTTGTGACATGCATGCTGCAGGGTGGCCACCCCTGGGTTAATTTATGTGTAGGAGAGGCAGGCCCCGCTTCGGGGCACAAGTAGATACAAGACATTGGGGTGAGGTCAGAATCAGGGCCACAATGTGATGTGTCAGTCCATTGACTTCAGTGGAGCTTCTCTCTGTTGAAAAGGGATAAGGTCAGATGATTGTTGGCAAAGATTTTCCACTTCCTAGGAGGCTGAATTTATTAGGACTTCCACAGAAGGAGAAGGGGTAGATGGGGAAAGAGATGACAAGAGACACAGCCTCTAAATACAATCCCAGCCAACCCCTTCCTTGCCATGAAACCGCTGCCCAGAAGGAAATAGGAACAGAAACTGCAACATGGGGGTTAAATTTCCCCAGGACCTGACAGGACAGTGCCTCCTTGCAAGGTTCCTCTGACCTCCCAGCCCCCTTTCCCAGGGAAGGTCAGCAGGTTATGTATTTTCTGCTGAGGTAATCTGCACATAACAAGAGCCACCGGCTAAGTAAAACCAGGTTCTTAAAGGGACACCATCAACTTTCCATTTGTCTGACTTTTCTTTCACCTGTTGCTACAAATAGCACCCACAACTCTTGAGAAGTGAGAGGAAATGTATTATTATCCCCCCCTCCTTTTCCAGCTGCCATATTTGGTAGATGTGATACAGGTGTTTTCACTGTTTCCCCTATAGAGCCAGTGTCCTCAATTCTTCAGCCTGAGGGAAGCTTGCAAAGAAGAATTTTTTCCAACTATTTGAGTTGGTCTAATAAAAGATATCAGATTTACCCAAAGAACCTTGCCTGCCTATGTCATTAGACCAACACAGCTACAGCCTACTCCCCTCAGTCCCTGTGGATCTTTCACACAGCAAGAAGGGAGAGGAATTCTGCAGAAGGATACAGGGCAGGTGTCATCCCAGATGCCTTAATTTTGGTTTTTTTTTTCCTTAAGTGACCAGTGTCCCTTTAAATCCTGCTGTTCCTTGGCAAACCCCCCTCTCTGGCACAGTGTTTGTGATTTTCATTTCCAGGAAGTCACTTGGGGAAGAGCTTATCAGGCCAGACAGGCTGATCTGCATCATCATTCCTCCCTTTGCACCATTCCATAGCTTCATGCCACTCTTGCCTCTTGCTTGGCCCATGCTCAGGGCTCTTACGACCTTTCTTCCCGTCACTGTAATGCTGTGGTCACTGGTTACCAGGGATTAGACTTTGACTGGTCATCTGTCATTAACAGTTACCACAAGGGACACGCTCTGGAGACCCTGATCATCTATTTTCTGTAGGACAGCACTACAACAGAAGCTCCAAAGACTTGCGTCTAACCCCATACTAGTACCAATGCCACAGCACATGCAATTCCTCTCACTGAAGCCCAGCAAGTCGAGGTATACCACAGAGCCATGGGTATTGATATTCCAAGTAAAATACAAACAGGGTGTCTAGAAACCATCAACTAATACAAAACTAGAGCCAGTGACTCAACCTGTGGCACCACTAACTGGAAAAGCTGCCCACCCCTAGCAGGAAAACGTCTATTTCACATGGTGCAAAAAAACAAAAGGGAAGTGATTGCACATTTCCAGAATGAAAAAAAGGAGAGAGAGAGAGAGAGAGAGAATGAACCCATGGGGTAGGAATAAAGATAGGAAGGGGGTTGGGGGGGGAAATAGTCTCTAATCAGCTCATTCCAGATCCTACAAGCAGAACCCTCTGCCTTTTCAAGGCTCTTTGTTGGATCCTGGCTTTAAAGAGTAATACATTAGGCACTCATTTACCATGGTGATAAGCACAACAGAGATGCCTGGAGAGAAAGCCAGAGTGAGCAATAAACCATGAACGATAAGAAGGATGGGTTTATAAAGTCTACTGTAAATCTTGACCAACCTGATTGTTGGCTTGGATAGTAAAGCTCACAGGGACAGAAAACTGGCTAAAAGCAGAAAAACAAAAGGTAACTGTATAAAACAATGTATCAAGGAGGAGATGGTGTTTATTGGGTTGTTACAGGGATCTGCACTAGTCAAGTGTTTAATGATTTGGATGGCCTAGTAAATGGCATGTTAATGAAATTTGTATATGATGAAGAATAAGAATTACAAACACCAGCAAACAGAGACTATTCAAAGGTACCCAGAAAGCCTGGAGACTATTAAGAGCAGAAGAATGCAAAACAAAATTCTATTTCAAATAATTAAGGCTAAAGGAAATGGTAGGAAGCCATTTCAAAGGTGAGGAGAAAACCTTGAAAAGAGCAGTGGTTAAAGTCACAAGAGAATAAGAATAGAGAACAAATCAGATATGAATTTACAAGGCAATATTGCTGCATAAAGGCAATGTAATTTTGTCTGCCTATGTTCAGACATGACTCAGAAGAGATACTAATTATCTCTATAAGCCCGGCATGACCATGCCTGAAATATCACATCTCAGCCAAGCACCCACATTACTGGAAGGATAATGACAAATTAGAAAGGTCTCAGAGAAAAGAAGCAACAGTTATCAAGAGCCTTGAAGAAATGACTTACCAGGAGATATTAAAAAGCATAGCTTGGTTCAGAAAGGATGAAAGAGGGCATGATAGCAGAAGGCAAATATTTACAAGGTGGAAAAAACAAGGTGAGAAGGGAATGAGGAATCATTTAGCACAGCACAAGTAGCAGTAATGTAACATCAAGGAAGAACAAAATTAATCCCATTCTCAGGAAAACTTTCCAGACAGTGAGATACATTAGGTTGTGGAATAGTTGCCCAAGGGAAATTGTTGCAACACTGTTGCTTGGCATTTTCAGAGCTATTTTGGACAAAGCATTACGAATCATGCAGTAGGAAACACCTTTGCATTGCCCCTGCTCTGCTCTGGAAGTTGGATGAATTGTTGCTTCTTTCAGAAATATTGTAATAGCCTGGTGGAAAAGAGTAAACTCTCTCAATCTGAGGGGGCTGACTGGGCTCGCTGCTTCAGAACCCGGAACTTGAAGATAAAGCAGTCCCTTATCAGTGCCTAAGCCTGAGTTCAACAGGGTGGGGGAAATGTTTCCCTGTTTTTAAATAAACAAAACTTGGAAAGAAAAACAGTGAAGATGACTCTATATTCAGAGAGAACAGAGTGTTTGGGGCAGGAGCTGCTGTGGACTTTTTGCAAGCAGCGAGGATTTTTGTGGATGATATTTTTAACTGGACCAACTGCAAGGTTGAGAGAGACTTAAAAGACAAACTCTGGAAGACAGTTCAATCTTCTTCAGGTCACTGCAGACCCTTTTATTTTTTTTTTAGCAATCACCTCAAGCCCTCTACATCATGTTTTCTGCCCAGAAATTAAATGCCCCATCAGAGTAAAAACCCCAGGTCCTATTCCTGAAATTCTTAATTTTAAACTTCTCTCTCTCCAGCCCCTTTCCTATAATGTGACTCAGAAAGAAGAGAGTGGCTGATAGAAACCCTCTAGAAACTATCAGTGCTGCTGGAGTGCTAGTTTTTTGGTGATGCTCCAAAGCAGTTGTTTTTATGTCCATAAAAATAGGTCCTGTTTTAACAGTTTAAAAGCACCTTTGGAACTGAAAAGTAAAATTAATTCAGGATCCAAAAAACACATGCAAGAGAGAGAGAATGAATAACCCCCCTACCATTTTATATCAAACAGGAAATCTCATGCTTTCTAATGTCTCTCTTATTTTGTCCGAACTTTGAATTTTGCAGGGCTGGAGGGGAGCATATCTGATATGATCAAGTAGCTGTTCCCACTGAATGGCACTTTTGTTCTGCAGATCTGCAACTTGTAAGCAACACTGCAGTTTCAGGGACTGCAAAATCCAGCACGGGGTTTAAGGAAACTGTAAGGTGACATTACGCGCTGAGTGAGGTCTGCTACAACCCCAGAGAGGACCATGGAGTTTGCCTGTGTCCGGCAGCCTCAACAAAGACTTCCCTTTGCAACAGAGTCCGGAAGAAAACTTCCAAGACCCAGAGCTTAACTCAGCTCACAGTGCAGCGACCTTCAGCTGGCCCCAGCCCTTGTTGTACCTCTCTGCCCCCTCACTCCTCCCCATTACCCCAGGCCTTGTCGGACAGCTCACTGCCCTCCCTGAGAACAAAGACAATGAACTCTCTGACATCTCCCCCGACAGATGGACGGATGGACAGGTGGACAAACGCTCCATTGAGCCGGGCGCATGGGCAGCGGGATCAAATCTAGGGGCAGCTGGTGTGCTCCAGGAAATGGGGACAAGAATGGCCTCCTTCCTCCATGCCTCCCTCCTCCATGTTTAAAAAGTCCTTTTTGCTGGTTATTCCTGAAGAGTAGTGCTGACTTCAGCCTGGGGGGTTAAGGCCCCCTCCAGACCCACTTTAAAGGAACAGATCCATCCCCTCCACAGCAATCCCTGCCTGCCCCACCCTGGGCACTTCCCTGCCTTAGAAGATACAGCCTGGAATTGCAAGGTGCCTGCTTTTCACAGACACACAAGATCTCCCCCAAGTGAGAAACAACCAGGAAAGCTCCACTCCACACCCCCCTGCAATATCCCAAAGCCAGGGGCCGACTGCAGCTGCTTACCCTGACTCTGTGGTCATGTCACAGAGGGCAAAACAGCCTCATCTTGGCCTCACACATCCTGTAACTTCCCCAGCACTGTTTTTGGGGGGTGGGGGCTGAAGGGGGCATTCTTTGCTAGGAAGGGGCTCAGCATTTGGGGCTCCAACCCCCACCCCCAGCTGCTGGACTCTAGGGGCTGCCTGGCTCACAACCTCACCCCTTCCCCTGGGAGGGTGGGGGGCAGAACCAGGGCTGGGGATGAGGAGTCAGAGCAGCTGAGCTGGAAGGGACCTCAGGGGGTCACCGAGCCCAGCATTTCTCAACCCATGGCTCGCCACCCAAAAGTGGGTCGCACGAATACACAGAAGGAGCATGAACAAACTTTAGAAACAGCCCAGCCAACTTTCAGCATGTGTAAAGGAGAACAACTTGGGAAACGAGTTGCAGCCTGCGAGGGGCTCCCCATGCCTCCCCACACACACACTCTGGGGCTGGGGCCAGCGGGTCGGGACTGACCATGCGTGTTTACAAATGGGTGCTAGTGCAACAAAGGTTGAGCCCCGCTGCGCTAGTCCCACCCCGGCCTGAGGCAGCACAGGTCTCCAGCCCCGACCCCCTTTCTGTCGGGGCTTTCCCGGCCCGCGCAGCACTCAGAGCCCCAGCAACACCCCCGGGCCATGGGGTGGAGGGGAGGGGGCTCCTATGGAGGCAGGGCTGGGTT